CCCCGCGAGTATCGCGGGTCCCCCTCTTGTGTTTATCTAGTTCCCTCTTGGAGCCATCTATGCTTGTAGCCACCACCGCCTCCTGTGGCAGTGAATTCCATGGAACACACCGTGCCAGGCGCAATGAATGTATTATTATTGTTATTGTTATTGTTGTTGTTGTTTTATTCAGTTTAAACCCCACCCCATCCCACAAGTGATCTCAGGGCGGCTTACGGCATACAGTCCGTACAACAATAAAACCAATTTATCTACATAGATAAATAAATATTGCCCTTTTATCCAATTCATTCTCCAAGGACCCCAAGGTGCCTGCCATTGTTTCTCCCTCCTCCATTTTATCCTCCCAGCAACCCTGCGAGGTAGGTAAGCTGAGAGAGGATGAGTATCCCAGGAGTAAACCTTGGATGAGTCAGGATTTGAACCTGGGGCTGTCCGGCCACGCTCATGTGACCATCTGTACAAGTCAGCCAAAGGCTTCCTCGTCGTTCAAGATCTGGGTCGGCTTGTGGCCGCTTGACTTCTTTAACCAGAGAACGTTTCCCTGAGCTGCTGTGTGTGAGAAACCTGTGGGAAATGATTTATCTCCCAAGTATTAAAGGCTGGAGGACAGACGAGCAGACTCTTGTTTTCAAAGAAGCAGGACTGGAAGAGTGGGGGGAGAGTTTTGGCTCAAAACAAACGATGGTGCTGGCAAGGGAATGACAGTGATGGATGCGATCTAATCCTCTGCTCGGTTTCAGCCCCTCCAATAAAGCGGCCTGTTGTCCTTTGGAGCCACGAAATCCTCTCTCGGTGCATCTGTCAGGCACTCGATACTTACCATGTCGCCAGGACAAAGGCAGGCTGGCAATGGAAAATGCAGGCCACAACCCCAATGAGATTTTTAATAATATTATCGTCAGCTGCGCACACGCCTGGGGCATAGACTTCTGAAAAAGTACTCCTCTTGGCTAAAGAGCACCACAACATCTTTTGGGGATGGATGCTCAGTCGGCTGGGCCGTCACACCACACCACTCGGCCCCACTGCCTCCCCCCTCCCACAACTATAAAGCATAGAATCAGTTGGTATGAAGCAACAGGACAAAGTTATTGAAAATCTGACATCAGATACAAAGACAAACCAGTGACAATAAGAAGAAGAAGAGAAGAGATTGGATTTATACCCTGCCCTTCACTACCAAAGGAGTGTCAGAGCGGCTTACAAACTCCTTTCCCTTCCCCTCCCCACAACAGACACCCTGCGAGGTAGGTGGGGCTGAGAAAGCACTGAGAGAAACTGCTCAACGGCTCTGATCAGAACTACGGCTTGCCCAAAGTCATCCAGCAGCTGCATGTGGAGGAGTGGGGAATCAAACCCGGTTCTCCCAGATTAGAGTCCGCGCACTTAACCATCACACCCAACTGGCAAACTATCGCATGCCAAATGCAGATTATCACGTTATAAAGTTCCAATAAAAAGGATATGTCCTTCACAATACCACAGTGAATTAAGCCGCAAATAATGACGCCTATCAGGAGAAAGATGGTGTCAAAGGGTCATAGTAAATGATCAAGTATCAATTCATTGACATAGTAAAACATCTATAGCACGATTCCAATCAAAATACATACAATTTAAAGCAATAAAAATTTTAAAACAGGGATTCCAAAAATTGTCATAATCAAGAGAGGCAGAGAAAGGGTCTTTATTCGAGGTTTGTATCAGCATCCTTTCCATTGTGAGATAATCCCATATGTTCCTGTACCAAATCTTAAGAATTGGGGGCGAGGGAGATTTCCAGGAGAAGGCGACTACAGACTTCACAGCAGTGTGCATAATATAGAAATCAAATCTTTCTTAACTTGGGGGATTTTGGGATCGTCCCACAAGTTCTACGCCTGGTAGAACAGCGTAGCAGGAGACCGCGTTGCAGAGAGAGCTGGCCATCAAATTTAGGTGGTTGTCCCATCTTGGAAGATTAAATATAGGCTCAGCACCGTATGATAGGATGGTTTTATTGTGTTTTAAATATGTATTTTATTATATGCTTTATTGTATTTTACTCTGGCTTTGCCATATGTAAGCCGCCCTGAGCCGTTGGGAGGGCGGGGTATAAATCAATCAATCAATCAATCAATCAATAAAAAATTAGCGACAGAGAGTCAGGATGTAAAGGAATACAAAGGCCTGTGATGATAGAAATTTGAGTCCAGCGGCACCTTTAAGACCAACAAAGTTTAATTCTGGGTATAAACCTTTGTGGGCAGGCACACTTCTTCAAATATGAAGGGTTATACCCAGAATAAAACTGGACTCAAACTATAAAGCATGTATTTATTTAGTTCATTTCCACCCCACCTTTGTCTCCAGTGGGGGGACTCCAAGCGGCTCGCATCCTTCTCTGCTCCTCCATTTTATCCTCACAACGCCCCTGTGAGGTGGGCTAGGCTGAGAGCCTGTGTGACTGGCCCAAGGTCACCCAGCGAGCTTCCATGACATGAGTGGGGAAAGGAAGGGATAATGGGGTTTTCATAAAACTGCTCTGAGGTGCAGTGAGGGCGATGGATCCAAACCTCCCCAGACCCCCTTTCAGCCACAGCTGTAAGACGGAGGGGCAGATTGGCTCCTGAGCATGTAAAGAGAATTCCCCATGGGCTGCTGCTGCTCTGGAGGGCCCAGCTGGTAGCCAGGAGTGAGGCAAGCTATGCGGCAGGGCTAGGGGTCATTTCGTAGAAAAAGAGGTGCAGGCTCTCATTAGCATAACTCATTTGCACAACTCATTTGCATATGCCAACCCCCCCTGACATCACCGGAAGTGTGTCAGAAGGCACCACTGGACTGTTTTGGATTGCTAGATATTGTGGGGGGGACATGCAGATCTGTCCTCACAGAGGAGGGAGAGCTTCTACCTGAATAAAACTTGGTATTAAAGGTCCACTGGATTGTTTTGAACCGGGGGGCGGGGGCGGGGAGAGCTCTGCAGTTTACCTGGCTGCTTCTTGCTCTGACTGAGGGCTGCTGGGAGCAGGGGGCGGGGCTTGTTGCATGTGCCCGCCCCCTGGGCTCTTTACTGCCGGAGCTCCGCTCCTGTGCGCTCCTGCAGGAAATGACCCCTGCGGCAGGGCCCCTGGGAATGACTCCAGGGCTTGCACCCAGCCAGCAGTGTAGAAGAGAGGCCCGTGCTCCTTTCCTCTTGAGCTACCTCTGCCACACACCCCACGGCAGTGCCAGCCCCTCTGTGGCACGGCTTGCCATGCCCCCGGGCCAGGCTGAACCCCCAGGGGCTTTGGGGAGGCTTGTGGGGATCAGGCTAATGGGGAGGCTGTGGGGTGGAGGGGAAGCGCCCTCAGTCTCTGTCTGCCGCTCGCGCCAGATGGCTGCTGGAAACGGTGCTGGGTTTTGAGCGCTCCAATCTGTTTTTAATTCCTACAGGTGGCTTTTCGCCTGGATTTTGAATTTAGCAAGACGGTTTTCCTGCAGGACTTGGAGATCTCCCTGACTGCCAACAGGTTGGCTATCCTTTCCTTTCGTCTCCATTCATCATTGTGATTTACGGAATAGGCCGCTCAGGGTGGAAGCTTTCTGGAAGGCCCTTGGCCAATGCTACTGTTGACACTGCCTCCCTCCCGGGCTATTTTCCCTTCCACAACACCTCCACGTTATATTTACTTGCATCTCCCCTCCCCTCCATCCCTGCCACAGAGGTGGGTTAATGGATTATTAAAGGGAGCCACGAGTCACAAATGCTAATAGCTCAGCCATGGACCTGCTCATCCGGCCTCTAGGAGGAGACAAAGAATTCTTCTGCAACCCTGATTGGACGCAGAACCGATATCCAGGCAAGTTAGGTCACGTGACGTCACCGGGAGAAAATGGCCACTTTTGGAAGGTGGGCTCTGTGGCTTTGTACCCCACTGAATTCCCTCCCCTCCCCATTTTTTCCAGGTGAAGTGACCTAACTTGCCTGGATATCAGTTGTAATCCTAACCACCAGGGGTCATTTTGTAGAAAAAGAGGTGCAGGAGTTTATTAGCATAACTCATTAGCATAACCTATTTGCATATGCCACACACACACCCCTGACATCACCGGAAGTGTGTCAGAAGGCAACACTGGACTGTTTTGGATTGCTAGCTATTGGGGGGGGGGAACGTGCAGATCTGTCCTCACAGAGGAGGGAGAGCTTGTACCTGAATAAAACTTGGTCTTAAAGGTGCCACTGGACTGTTTTGGGCCAGGGTGCCCGGGGGGGGGGCTCTGCAGCTTACCTGGCTGCTTCTTGCTCTGACTGAGGGCTGCTGGGAGCGGGGGGTGGGGCTTGTTGCATGTGCCCGCCCCCTGGGCTCTTTACTGCCGGAGCTCCGCTCCCGTGCGCTCCTGCAGGAAATGACCCCTGCTAACCACCTACCTGGAGGTTATACAAAAACTGAAGGTCACCGTGTTAGGAAGATATGGAAAAATATATGACACTGTGCATAACGGATGTATACTTAAGGTCATCTATTTTTATTTATTTATTTATTTTTAGATTTGCATCCCGCCCTCCCAATGGCTCAGGGCGGCTCACATGCGGCAGAGCCGAATTGAATAGATAAAATACAATAAAATAAGCAACATTTAAAACCACAATAAAACCCAAACAATAATCAAGTTGCTCTGATCTTCCTCTGTAGGTCATCCAAATGGGAAATAATAAACCCAGTTCGGCGGCCAGCTATCTCAACAGCGCGGTCTCCCGCGGCGCTGTTCTATAGGCTTCTGCCAGGCGATGCTTGTGCGTCATGCTCGGGGCAGACGATGAAGCACTACCACGATGGTGGGACAGTGGCGGCAGCGGCTCCTACTCAAAAGCCTGGCGGAAGAGCTCCGTCTTACAGGCCCTGCGGAACTGCACAAGGTCCCGCAGGGCCCGATCTCCCCTGGGAGCTCATTCCACCAGGTAGGAGCCACCACCGAAAACGCCCTGGCCCTAGTAGGGGCAAACTTAACCTCTCGGGGACCTGGAACTTCCAGGAGATGGAGGCTCCCCGATCGTAGTGCTCTTGGGGGAACATATGGGAAGAGGCGGTTCTTCAGGTAAGCCGGACCCCAGGCATTTTGTGCTTTTTATTTTTACATTTTCCCCTATACTATTATAGAAATATTGGTGTCAAGTATTACCAAACGTAGGTTTCACCAAAACAACGCATCAAAGTGCAGGTTTACCCTGTGCTCAAACATTCAAACTGCACCTTGTCTGTTTCACAGTCACTAGTCCCAGGGGACTCTAGTAATTTACCCATATGGGATTCAGTCTTTTTCAAGGACAGTGATATACATACAAGAGAGTCACAATACATTCTTTGTGAGTCTAAAACTCTTAAAAGAGCAGCATATTTTCTAGGGTCCCACTGTAACCCTTGCGGCGAACATCATAACTTATCTAGGAGAAGGAGCGGGGGGCAGGTAACCCCCCGCTTTGGAGGCCCGATTTCCGCCGCCGCTTTGTGAGTCTAAAACTCTTAAAGGAGCAGCATATTTTCTAGGGTCCCACTGTAACCCTTGCGGCGAACATCATAACTTATCTAGGAGAAGGAGCGGGGGGCAGGTAACCCCCCGCTTTGGAGGCCCGATTTCCGCCGCCGCGGAATCGGGGCCCGGGGGGAACTCCGCCCCCCGAAGCGCAGCGTGGCTGCGTCACCAGAGGTGATGCAACCACGTTGATCACATTGGGGGCGTGGCCCCGATTGTCGGAGGGAAAACTATGGTTTTTCCTCTGACAATCGGGGCCACGCCCTCAACGTGTCGACGTCGCACGTCACTTCCAGTGATGTCCTGGCGGCACGCGCACGTCCACCAACAGCTCCCGGAGCCCGGTGAGGCTCCCCCACCGCCAAGGTAAATAGACTTCGCAACCCTAGCTCTCCCAGGTTCTATCAGGCAACCCAAGCTGGCAACCCAAGTTGGGCATCCAACCAGAATTGCTGAAGCTTTCTTTGTCTGGCTCCTCCTAGAGGCCGGGATGAGCAAGGGCAGGGCAGATGTATCAGCATTTGTGACTTGTGGTGCCCTTTAATATCCTAAAAGAAATCAACCCTGACTGTTCCCTGGAAGGCCAGATAATGAAACTGAAGCTCAAATACTTTGGCCACCAAATGAGAAGGGAGCACTCACTGGAGAAGACCCTGATGCTGGGAAAGACTGAAGGTCAAAGAAGACGGGGACGGCAAAGGATGAGATGGTTGGACAGTGTCATCGACGCAACGAACATGAAATTGAGCCAACTTCAGAGGACAGCGGAAGACAGGAGGGCCTGGCGGGAGCAGGTCCATGGGGTCGCGAAGAGTCGGACTCGACTGTGCGACTGAACAACAACAACAAACCCACCTTCGTGGCAGGGATGCCTTCCTTTCCTTCCCTGCTGGGGGGGGGCTCTTGGAGGCATTTGGGTGGTCCCTGTGGGGAGGACAATGCAGGACGGGATGGGCCCAGCCGTATAGGTCTGAAGCAGCAGAGCAGAGTTCGAGTCCTGTGGCACCTTGAAGACCAACGAAGTTTTGTTTGTGCGTGCACACGAAAGCTTATCCTCAGAATACAACTTTGTTGGTCTTACAGGTGCCCCTGGACCAGTGTTCCCTCTAAGCTGAGTCAGTGTGAGCTAGCTCACAGTTTTTTAGCCTCTGGCTCACACAGTTTTGCCTTAGCTCGGGAAGGAGGGCTCCAGAACAAACTGATTTATGCAGCAGCCAAATCGCTTGCTCACAACTTTAACGCCAGTAGTTCACAAAGTAGAATTTTTGCTCACAAGACTCCACAGTTCAGAAGGAGCCCTGCCCTGGACTCGAACTTTATTCTGAAAGTGGGTATGTTCATGAGTACAAGGGAAAGATTTTTTTTTCCTACCCACCATGCACTTAAAAAACACCCCAACCCAGTGGAGTAAATGCTATATGCAGAGAAGTTGCAAGGGCATGACTGCTCCCCCTAACCACTGCCCCTCCCTCCGTATCCCAACTCCTTCTTGTATAATTCGCACCCTCCTAGTAAAAGCCGGCTGCCTGGGCTCGGGGAGACCCCTGGTTTTATGGGGAAGACGTGGAAGTAGGGACAGACTTCACATTCCTGGGATCCCAGATCACCGCAGACTGTGACAGCAGCCATGAAATTAAAAGACGCCTGCTCCTTGGGAGGAAAGCGATGGCGAACCTAAACAGCATGATAAAAAGTAGAGACATCTCCCTGCCAACAAAAGTCCGCATGGTCAAAGCAATGGTATTCCCAGTAGTCATGTATGGCTGCGAGAGTTGGACTATAAGGAAGGCCGAGCGCCGAAGAATAGATTCTTTTGAACTATGGTGCTGGAGAAGACTCTTGAGAGTCCCTTGGACTGCCAGGAGATCAAATCAGTCAATCCTAAAAGAAATCAACCCTGACTGTTCCCTGGAAGGCCAGATAATGAAACTGAAGCTCAAAGACTTTGGCCACCAAATGAGAAGGGAGCACTCCCTGGAGAAGACCCTGATGCTGGGAAAGATTGAAGGTCAAAGAAGACGGGGATGGCAAAGGATGAGATGGTTAGACAGTGTCATAGATGCAACGAACATGAAGTTGAGCCAACTTCAGAGGACGGCGGAAGACAGGAAGGCCTGGCGTGATCTGGTCCATGGGGTCGTGAAGAGTCAGACTCGACTGTGCGACTGAACAACAACAAAAACTTACTCTGGCTGTTCAGAAAAACCACTGCGTTGTGCTTGTAAATCAGAGGCTGGCCCCTGTCTTCAGTCCGAGGAATGGAAAACTCTCGCTTTCTGACATGCTTCCGTCAGACGCCTTTGAAATACAAATATTCAAACCCAGAATGCTTTCCTAAGCCTGGGCAGCTTTGGGGCCCATGGAGAGGAGGGGGATGGCAGCAGGGGATCGTTTATCTTCTGGAGGCGGCTATTTGCAGCTGCACAATCTGGTCACTATTAAAAGCAGCAGAGAGAGAAAGATGGAGAGCTTTGTGGGGGGGGCAGCTCTCATTCATGGGGGGGGCTTGTGCAGGAAAGGATTGTCTGCAGTTGGCGCACAAAGACATTTTGTGCCACTGGTTCCCTGGAGGGGGGTCGGGGTGCCAGCCACCAGGTAGCGACGTATCTAGAAATGCCCTTCCTCACAAAAACTGTCTTTGTACAAGATGTAAAGTTTCCGGATACCCAAAGTGCCCCGGCATTTTATTGTCATGGCTCTGGGATAAAATCTCTCCTCTCAATGCTTCTGGAATTACAGTAGATTACAGTAGATTACAGAGACCTGTTCCCCCATGAGAAAATGACAACTTCAGTGGGTGGACTCTATGGCATTATACCCCTAGGGATGCCAACCTCCCGGTGGGACCTGGGGATCCCCCAAAATTGCAGCTACAGAGATTGGTTCCCCTGGAGAAAATGGGTGCTTTAGAAGAAGAAGAGGAGGAGGAAGAAGAAGAGATTGGATTTATACCCCATGGCCCTTCACTACCCAAGGGAGTCTCAGAGAGGCTTACAAACTCCTTTCCCTTCCCCTCCCCACAACAGGCACCCTGTGAGGTGGGTGGGGCTGAGAGAGCTATGACAGAAACTGCTCTTTTTCAAGGACAGCTGTGCCAGAACTATGGCTTGCCCAAGGTCATCCGGAAGGTGCAAGTGGAGAAGAAGAAGACGAGGAGGAGGAGGAGGAGATTGGATTTACACCCCACCCTTCACTACCCAATGGAGTCTCAGAGTGGCTTACAAACTCTTTTCCCTTCCCCTCCCCACAACAGACACCCTGTGTGGTCGGTGTGGCTGAGAGAGCTCTGAGAGAACAGCCCTGAGAGAACTTGTGACTGACCCAAGGTCACACCAGTAGCTGCATGTGGAGGAGTTGGGGAATCAAACCCGGTTCTCCCAGATTAGAGTCCGTGCTCCTAACCACCACACCACACTGGGTCTCAGTACCCCACTGAGGTCTCTGTCCTCCCAGTCTCCATCCCCCAAATCTCCAGGCGTTTCCCCACCTGGATCTGGCAACCCTGCCCTCCCATTCCCTGCTGGTGGCCGGGGGGGGCACCTGGCAACCCTCCCTGTTGAGGTCTCCCCAGGCTTCACCGAGGGTTGCCAGCTCTGGGCTGGGAACAGTGTTGCCTCTAAGCTGAGTCAGTGTGAGTTAGTTCACAGTTTTTTAGCCTCTGGCTCACACCTTTTTGTCTTAGCTCAGGAAAGATGGCTCCAGAGCAAACTAATCAGTTGAGGTCTCCCCAGGCTTCACCGAGGGTTGCCAGCTCTGGGCTGGGAACAGTGTTGCCTCTAAGCTGAGTCAGTGTGAGTTAGTTCACAGTTTTTTAGCCTCTGGCTCACACCTTTTTGTCTTAGCTCAGGAAAGATGGCTCCAGAGCAAACTAATCTATGCAGCAGCCAAATCTCCTGCTCACAACTCTAATG